CACCTCCGGGGCAAGCGGGGATCGAACTCATGCGGAAGTGGCCTTAGCTTCCTAGTGCAGTGCTTTAACCCGCTGCGCCACCAGGGAGGGCCCTGGTGAAAATTATTTTTAAATAATCACTTAAAACCTCTGAGTACAGTCCTAATGACAAATAGCAAATAAAGAATCATCTGTACAACATTTCATTCAAGTTAAAAATTTGCTAAGAGGGATATGAATCAGTGGTATTTAAACAAATACTCCCTTTGCCCCCCCTTCCTTGATTGACAAAGCAGAGAAACTGAAGCAGGAAATTGTTAAGTCTGCTGTTTGCTGGAGGGGAAAGTTCCTGCTGTGTGCTGCTTACCCACATTAGTAATCATGCTTACCTTGACCCCCTTCCCAAACAATAAAGAAAGTCAATGATAGATGGGGTGACAAGCCACATACAAACTGTATAAAACCTTACCATTCCAAAATGCCAAAGCAAAACTGCTCTAGAGGTCTGAAACCAAGAACACAGGGCTCTTTCTCTGCTCATCTCTCAGCTCAAGAGCTTCTGTCCCTGGGGCAGCAGCATTTCTCATCCCATTCCAAGTATCTATTGCTGAGGCTAAGTCCTGAGTGAGTGGTAGTTGTGGGGCATCTTTCTTTGGCATGCTGAAAATATTGGGGCTCGGTAGACCTTGCTGAGAGGCAATGATTCCATTTCAGAAAAAGTAAATTGAGGAAAAAATAGGGAAAGAATTTTGCCTCTTCACAGGCTGCAAAAACAGGTAACTGATAATTTCTTGCCAAAGAAATTGACTTAATTTTTAACAGAACATGGAGAAATTTAAACCTAAAGGTATTCCTAACAGTGTAGGTTGTGGTAAAAAGGCATTTGGGTATAGATTCATGGATCTAATGAAAATACAGCCTAGAATATAACCCTAAGTTTGCAGGCAAGAACAGGGAATAAAACACTTGGGAGGAGGCCTTCTAGGATCAGAACAAATGTCAAACACAGACTTTATAAAATGTTCATTCAAAAAGGTCAGAGTAATTTATGCCACAGGGCACTGTTGAAAAAAAAAAAAAGAGCAATCAGCTTCCAAGTTGTGGGGTTTAATAATGGAGATAGTCAAGAAAAGAAAAGACGGAGCCCTACCAAAACTACAGTTGACTCTTGATCAACTGGTGCAGAGTGCTGGGAGTGTCAACCCCCTGCACAGAGAGAAACCTCTATATAACTTTTGACTACTAGAATCTTAACTAATATCCTACTAAGACTGGGTGTCTTACAAATGACATAAATTGTCTACTAACATGTATTTAGAATATTATATGTATTCTAAACTATTTGTTTACAATATAGTGAGTTAGAGAAAAAAATGTTATTAAGAAAAAAGATAGTTACAGTACTATACAGTATATATCAATACTATAGGTTTACCTTGTTTACCAGGAAATTTGTATCTAAGTGGATCTGTACATTTCAAACTTGGGTTGTTCAAGGGTCAAATATACTGTCACCCAAGGGATGTTGGCAAAAAAAGGATAAAGTTACTCCTGAAGAGAAGGATGGGAGGCTTATCCCTGGGGGTGGGGGTAAAAACAGACTTCACTCAAATGATTCACTGCCTACACTAAACAAATAAACAAATGATAAGAAGCTCACAGTGGGGATATATAAAATATTACATATCTAGGGTCCTCTAAAAAATGATATGCAAAGACACAGGAAGGTTTGGTCCATATGCTTGGACAAAAGCAAGCAACAAAACAGAGTAAATGGATGTCAGATTTATCAAAAAGAGAATTCAAAGTAGCTATTATAAACAGAAGTAAGATATCCAAATAAAGAAAGTGAAGAAACATTTGATAACAATGTAGTATCAAATAGAGACTATCAATAAATAGAAATTATCTTTAAAAAATCAAATAGAGGGCCCTCCCTGGTGGCGCAGCAAGTTAAAGCACTGTACTAAGAAGCTTAAGCCAGTTCCTCATGAGTTCGATCCCCGCCTGCCCCTGAGGAGATCCACATGGCGCGGCAGACCTCTCCTGACCTGCCTGCTGCTCCCCTCAGCAGTGTACTTCATCCATCTGCCTGTTCTGCTCCCCACTCTGTCCCTGGTGAATCCTCTCAGCCTCCGCATCTCTGGCCTGTACCCCAGTTCTGTATGAATAAATAAATAAATCTAAAAAAAAATCAAATAGAAATTCTGGGGTTAAAAAGTACAAAAACTGATGTAAAAATTCTACAGAGGGGCTAAGCAAAAAATTTCAAATGGCAGAAAAAAGAACTGACATACTCGAAGAGAGATACATAGAGATTATACAGGGTGAATAACAGAGAAAGAAAAAAGAAGAAAAATGAACAAACTCTTAAGAAATATGGGATACCATGAACTATATCAACATAGATACAAGGATATACTAGAGAAGAAAAAATATTCAGTGCCAGTGTACATGTAAACATGTAGTAGAGAGATAAAGAGAAGAAAAAATTCAAGAAATGATAGCTGAAATCTTCCAAAATTTATCCAAAAAAGTAACCTACAGGGCCCTCCCTGTTGGTGCAGTGGGTTAAAGCACAGCACTAAGAAGCTAAAGCCACTTCTGCATGACTTCGAATCCTGCCAGCCCTGGAAGTGATCCACATGGCACAGCAGACATCTCCTGACTCACCCGCTGCTCCCCTCAGCAGTGTGCTTTGTCAATCGGCCTGTTCTGCTCAGCACTCTGTCTCTGGTGAATCCTCTCACTGCTCCTGCACCTCTGGCCTGTACCCCAGTTCTGTATGCATAAATAAATCTTTAAAAAGCAAAAAAAAAAAAAGCAACCTGCAGGTCTAGGGAGCTCACTGAATTCCAAATAGATACATGGAAAGAGACATACAAATACATATGTCACAGTAAAAATAATGAAAGCAATCTTAATAGCAGCAAGAGAAAAGCTGCAAAACTATAATAGACCCCCCAGTAAGATTAACAACTATCTACTTAGCATAAGTTATGTAGGCCAGAGGCAGTGGGACTACTTAATAAAAGTACTAATAAAAAAACTTGTCAATCCAGAATTCTATATCCAGCGAAGCTATCTTTCCAAAAATGAATAACTAGTTCCTCAAGTATTTAGAATATACATCAAATATAAAATAAAGCATTTCTTAAAATACTCATATAAATAAATTCTGGAGTTGTTGTTTCTAGACAATATATAGGAAATACTAAAGGAAGGTCTTCAGACTGAAAGCTAGTGACCACAGATGGTAATTTGAATCCAAACAAACAAACAGAAAAATATAGAGCACTGATAATGGTAATTATGTAAGATACCCAAATGATGGCACATGGGTAAAATGGTGGTAGGAAGCCCACGGGGATTATAACTGAGATGATAA